ACTTAAGTCACACTTTGGCCTGAAGAAAACTGAGCGGAATCGTTTACACTCGATGTAACTAATGCAAGCAAATATTCTGACAAGTGATTCCGATATATTATTTAATTATTAAGACATAAATTAAACACAAATGTGCATCAATTTCAGTAAACAGAATGACTTATACCATTTTGAAAATAAACGGGTCATGTATATATATATATTTATTCAAGTGTTTATTTATTTACTTTTTGTTTTCTTATGAATTTTTCATATTCAAATGGTCGCATATATGTTTGTTTTATCTACTAGTTATGTGTATGAAAAAAATTTATTTATTTACTTTAATATATATTTTTTATTGTTTTCATTCAATTTTTTATATATAATTTTTTTTTTTTAGTTTGGTACACATTGTAAAACTAGCTTTTTTATTTTAAATTTTTTGCTATAGTTTTTATATATATTCATTTTATATAGTTTTTATTATAATTTCTGGATTTATTTTTTCTTTTTCGAAATTTTCTAAATAAAAATGATTTTCCATTTAACTACAATCTCTTGATACCTTATGTTTTTAAAGAAAGTGCGCTATAAACTTTTGTTGATGATGTTATTGTATTTGTTATATTTATAATGATGGTTCTCCTCTTATATATTGGTTTGAGTAAATATCTTTATTTAATTTTCCGCACACGCACACACACACGTATACATAGGCATATATTTCAAGTTTTTGCAATCTTTTAATAAAAAGAAGAAAAAAACTTTAAAAAAAAATTTTAATTTTTTCAAAAATTACATGAAAATTTTATAAAAATTAAAATTAATTAAAAAATCTTTATATATCTAGCACAGAATCGGAATATTGCAATATTTTTATCCCAAAATGAAGTTTTTTAAATTTTAAAAACAAAACACTCCATTGAAGTCAACGAGAAACGTTGCAAGGTTTTCCTTCTTGTTTTCGCTCTACTAATGTAAGTACGATACTTTTACTAGTTAATGGCCAAAAAATATATTTCAGAAAAGTTTGAAACCAGCCAGCATTCAGCCAATCCTTGAGATCTTTGAGAGCTTTGTTCAGAATATCCTTGAAATAAGAGAAATCGTATCACAATGAAGAAAAATACAATTACAAGTCAAATGAATGAACAAATATTCCTCCGTTCTAATTAGCAACAGTTGAATTAAATCGCCTTCACACTATATTCTTATTCCTAGAAAAATGCGTTTGAATTTAGAATTTTTTTCCCTGCAAAGCCACGGTTTTTGTGTTACGACATTTCTCCCATTGCTGTTCACTTATTTACTGTCGTAACGAAATTAATTTTCCATAGCATTTCTTCTGCTTCTTTAGAACTTTTTCATCGCTTTAATGCAAGAAAGGTAAAATGGCTCCAAAGATATATTTGCCTCTTTGTCTCTTAAAAAAAAAACAACAATGTATTCAAAGAATGTCTAAATTCCTAAATACCTCCAAATTCCCTGAGTATATATCTCATACCCAACACAAAGGATGAGCTTTTACTAAATTCTTTGTCCAAATACTTTTGCTCTGATACTTGGAACTGCACACAAGAGGTTTCATAAAGTTCCCATATTCAACCGTTAGCATCTTTGCTATATTCCTAAAGGAAGATTTAAAAATGGTCACGATAGGTCTGTAATCACCTCAAGAATGGTTGAAAAATGAGCCAAAAGCAGAGCCTACAAAACATTTTTGCGTCAATACCCTCCAGGATCATTTAAAAGATAATTACAAAATGACTCTTGTTGATTAAATTGGTCATCGACAATTAACACAATACCGCGAAAGGAATGAAATGTTTTAACTCTTTGATGATCAGTAACTCAGCATTTCAGTCCACCTCCGTTGTGTGCATTGCGCTTTCATTGTTCTTTGTTCATTTTTTCCAGCCGTGGATATCCATGATATCGCCGCTTGAACTGTTGGTTTATTTGGTCATATTTCTGTTGCCAGCTGAGTAATTGATTATAATAACGAGTACGTTATGGATGCGGTAAATGTCTACCGGGTACTTCTACGTCCATTTTAACTTTCAAAATTCGAATAAAGCCTGCAGCGTCTTAGAAGTTTTGAATGACTTTTATCTGCGTATTACCCGGGTAGGCCCGTAAATAAATATATTTTACCCTTTTTCTATATGTTCTTGTTCTTGTTTTCTACAAGTTCGGTTTATAAACAATTTCGATTAGTTTATTATAGCGACCAAAAGACTGTGACCCTAAATGCTTCACCCAGTTACTCGGCAAACGCCATTTTTTCTCTTCTTCTTTTGAAGTCTTTTTTGAAGTCTGTCATTTAGTTATATACCAAAAAGTCCAAATCATTTATAGTTTTTAGCTTTTCAAATGGCAAACGATTTTCTGTTATTTCTTTTTTTTTTTATTTAAACAGAGGATTAACTAACAAAAATTATAATAAATTTCTTTGGTGTGTGAACTGGCAGTGATTAGCTTAATATATACATTTCTATATCATAGTTAAGCACATGTAAACGTATTTTGATATTTAACGAATGGCAAAATAATCACAATAATTAAAACATAATTAATTATGAAAGCTGAAACCGAGATCCTCGAAAACTAAAAATTAACATATTTTCCTTTTCTTTCTTTTAAATAAATAATATTTTATGCTTATAAAAAACGTAGATAATTTTCGATGTTTTTCCCAATATTCTTTTAAATATTACAAAATAAAATTTGTATATTTTATTAACTTAAACAACAAACAATATGTTTTGTCTGAATTTTTTATACATCTTTTCCAAGTTTAAAAACACATCAATATGACGTTTCATAGAAATTCAAGAATATATCTTGGCAAAGACAAAACGCGGTCTAGGCTTAAGAAAAATAAAAGAGTTTTATAAACAAATTACTTGCATTCAATTGTGTTAAAATTTTCCCTTATGTTTTCTTTCATCTTTTTAAGATTTTGTTCATATTTTAAAGATAAGAAGAACCTTTTAAAGGCTAAGATCAGCAACCTTAAGTGAATTTATATATTTATTCGAAATTTAACGGGAAGAGATTCAGTTTGTCAAGTCTGTAACTTCCTTTCGTAAGTGATTTAAACTTGCCCTGGCGACTCAAAGTTAAGAAGCAATTCTTAGAATTTTCGATTCAATGGGTTTACTAACATTCTGTTCTGACTGAGGTTTCATTTTTTTTTTCGGTTTACCTGTCGAGGCAATTCATATTACCAGCTGCAGTAAATAAAACCAAGTCATTATACTCTGCACCACCTGTAGTTCAAGGCTTTATTAAGTTTACGCCGTTGGATGCAACACCCAGAAGGAATTGAAATAGACCCACCTTTTACTATATACTCGCCACTTTCAAAATCCATTTCGATGAAATTTGGTATAGCGACTTGGTATTGAAATGGCAAAGAAGGGATATTGTAAGGATATCTTCTTCTATCGTCTTCCCTGTTCCTCTCTTAAAAACACTTGTAAAACAATATTACCTCTTAAGATAAATTTAACTTGAAAGTGTTTAGATCACTGAAAAAGACGAAATATCGTAAAGATTTTATACATCCAATATTCTTCTTATCATTATCTCTTTTTACCTAAAAATACATACATGTTAGCATTATCCCTTCAAACAAATTTAAATTTGAGAGTGTTTAGAGCCCTACAAGAGACAAGATATCGTAATGATATTCTAAATTCAATATTCTTTAGTTCTTTCGAATTGAAATTCGCAACCATGCGCAGTCGTTCTTCTAACCTGAAGTTTGGTATCGGATAATATAACTTGTCCGAAGCAGCTCAGAAAGCATTCAAGATACTTAGCAAAGAAAGAAGCAAACAGAATACTGATCTTAGCCACATTTCCCCCCAACTTAAGCATAGCGGATCTGTATGCAATTTTTAATTTCAAAATTATAACCTTAAAACAATGATAGTAGTGAAGTGTAATGTCACAACTGTAATTACTATACCCACCACCAAGGGATGGGAATATATTAATTTGGTCCTAAGGTGTATGAAACCCATAAATGTGCTTAATAGATATATTATAAAGTATAAACAGGTCACCTGTTCGCCTCTTGCCATTATTCCGAAATGAGAAAGAGTGAAAGAGAAAGAGAGAGTAGAAATCTAAAACTCCAAGTATTTTTTATCAGTATTGAAACAGAAATTTGTGCCTGGGAAAAGAGAATAAAATGAAAATAATTTCATAAAAAAGGCGATAAAATTGAAATACAATTTCAAAAATTATTGTTTACTACTAAGAGTTGTCATGAACGTATAATAAATAATATTTCACTTAAGGTTTTTATATATTATAGTTAATTGAAACACTGAACTATATCCAAACATTATCTCTAGGTGGTGGGTATCCAAAATTCGCTCCATAACGAACGAAACTTTCTTACTTATTTCTATCGCATTATTAGGGTATAAAATGCTTTCCTGTTTATGTATAAAAAACAAAAATAAAGAGATTGAGATAGCTTTCAATTGGTTGGTTATTTGGGTTTGATTTGAGACCGATGATCAGTTATATGCAGAGAATAGTTTTGATAGACTAGCATTAGTAGTAATAGTTACTAAAGGAAGAAAGGAAGGAAGTATATATGTGTATTAATTACTTATACACTACAGTTTAGGTAATGGTATATAAATAATTTGTAGTTGTAGGTGTAGGTAAGTGCTTTCTTTTTTGTTAATTATTAATAAATATTACATATAATTATATTGGTAATTCTTTTTGTCATTGCATGTACTTGTATGTGTATATATATTATATATATAATTGGATTTGTTTAGTTTGAATTTTGTGCTTGTCAGCGTATATATATATTTTCCTTTTTTTTTTGTTAAATGTCTGACTAGATGGGAGTAGAAATTTTTCTTTCTTTTGCATGGTAATGTTTTTTATGAATTTTTTCTTTTTCTTTTTTTTTTTTGCTATAAATGTTGGAAATCGGTTTAAAATGCATATAATGGATTGTTGCGCTTAATTGATGGTTTCATTAATTATTTTGTTTTTTTTTTTTTTTTTTTTAGCAAGTGTTTGTGTAGAAAAGAAGATTTCGTTTCCTTAATTTTTGTTTCTTGCTTTTTTAAGAAAATATTGCTTAGCTTTTGTTTTTGTTTTTTTTTTCTTTTTGTTTTAAATTGTTTTACGTTAGATCCTTAAATAACAACGGCTGTTATTAAACTTAAAGTTTAACTCTTAACTAAGATAAGAAATAATTTAAAAAAAAACAAGCAGCAACAACCTAAAGTTCATTTAATAGTAAAACTTAAGTAGGACTGTCTGCCGTTGAGCCGGCGGCTGATATGCCATCTTGTAGTTGAGCTAACGTTTTATATCTTTGGGAATTTATAAATCTACATTGAACGCATGCAAAAAGACAAAGTGTAGAAATTATTCGTAGCTTAAAGTAATTCTCTTAGTCTTTCTTACCTTGGATATGAGTCTCTGTGCATTAATGTGTAGATTTGTATTTGAGCCTCGTCGAATGTTTGCAGTGTCGGTTCTATCATATTACGATTAACTATTCCACGTACACGAGCATCTATGTTGACCTCTCGCGGCGACAATATCGATATATAATCTTCATATATTAAACGGGCTTTTTCTTCGATGACATCTACGTTGCTTTCTTGCTTGAAATCCTCACAGGCCATCCAAAATAAAATATTTTCTTCACAAAAGCCACTACGGAGAAAATCACGAAACACTTTGCGGCCAGCTAGTAAACATATATTTTTTTTTTGTTTTTTGTTTTAATACGAAAATTGTATGATTATTTTATTATTTGCAATAGAAGAGTGCATTAATTTTAAAAGTTTTTCAAGCGTCTTGTACACTAGTGTCGTTATTATTCGATCTCAAAGCACAATCTTAAGGCTTTACGCGACATTATGGACCCATTTCTCGCTTTACACGGCTGTTAGGTATCTCATAAAAGCTTCTTCTTCTTCTTCTGAAAGTCAGCGAACGATTAACACTTGACTTGCTGAGTTGAGTAAGAAAGATTCAATGTAAACATGAGGTTCTTTGTTTGAACCTTAATAAACTTGACAGATGGCTTGATAATAAATGTATGTAACTATGTGTATATATTTACTGAACACAAAGGAAGGAAAATAAGTCAAGTGAGAACTAGGACATTGAAAAAATCATAGGAATAGTCTTCTTCTTTTAGAACTCAGCATACCCACGACAGTTGAGTAGAAATAAAAGAGAACAATTAAACCAGTATAGAGGCGTACGGCCTCAATGAACACCCTACGCTCTCTTACGTATTCGTACAACAACTTTTCTAAATAAAGCGGTGAAAAAAGTAGTTTGATCCGAAATGTCTTTTATAGGACTAATTCTTAGACCAAGACAAGGCAGTGTACAAAATTTCATCAAAATATCTTAAAAATCGGGAACTGTAAGTTGAACACAAGAAAACAAGATAGATAGATGGGCAGACAAGCATAAATTGAATTATTGCATATGGAAGGCTCTGAGAATCTCAGCGAGGTAATAGTGCAAGGATGACAGGTGAAAAAGTATGTAGTAGGTTTAACATGCGACCAGAAATCGCTTGCCAAATGTCTTTCTGAAAATGTGATTTAGAAAGACAAACCGAATTTTAAGCCTATTCGATCATTTCCGCCAATTTTTTAAGGGCAATATATCAGAAAGATTGAGTGCAACACATTCAAATGCTTGTCTCCTCACCTAGAGAAGTTAAGGAAAGAGATAGAGATAGAGAGAGTCACTAGTAATCAATAAGCAAAAAAAATATATTTTTCGAAAAGAAGAAAATGCTTCAAAATTAATGCATTCTTCTGGTATAACAAAAATTACCTGAACTTTTCATTAATTTATCGAAACTTGTGCCCCAACTTCGTATTTCTTCCAGTGAAGGTCTATTAAACAGGCAAAATTAATTAATCATTTTTATCATTACGATTAATATTAACTCACTGTTCGCCTTCTAGTAACAATTCTGAATTAGCTGGATCACGTTTTGTAGGTGCATTATCTTCCGCATTTTTCAGAGCCAGGCTATACAGATCACAAGAAAATCCAATGAATTAGAAGTGTTAAATGTTAAATTAAAAAACAAATTAATTAAAAAGTTTATTATAAAAGAATCCTAATATATTTTAGAAGGCGTAACCTACTCGTTGTTTCCTGTAAAGGGCTAACTTTTTTTAAAAACTGTGATGAGATAAGACCTAATCAGGTAAGGATTCAAGGAATTTGGGTTGCTTTATTAAAAACTTCGTCATTTATAAATGATGAAGGAATCGATTTAGGCCTGCAGGCTAAGCCATGTGGAACAACCGTGCAACTTGATTCTATAAGCATTTCTCTTTTAGTTTCTCCGGAACCAATCCCTTCCTCGATGAGTGCACTGTTGTATAGTGGGTATATCCGTTAAAACATTTAAGCTTTACTAATGCTGCAAATAATCGTTCAATCGCATTCAATGTAGTATTCAACATCATCATTCTTCATGTTATCATATCAATTCTCATTCGACTAGAACCTAACCAGCTGTACTACTAAACTATCACATTCGTTTTATGTATTCTTTCGGCAAAAAGCAACATTTTTCCTAGGTTACCGGTTTTTTATTATGTCATTAGATGAAAATCCAACATATATACGATAACCCGATAATGCGCGCTATAATGCGCGACACTATTATATATGAACATTCCTGCAGAACTACGTGGTTGCCTTCTATTTGAAATGAAAGAAGAAAGAGAGAGAGAGAGAGAGAGAGATTATATTTAGTTTGAACCAAATTGCACTAACTTGTGCGGGTTAAGAAAATACACCCATTACAGCAGTTCTTACTGTGGTCAAAAGCAAGTAGAGGATTTATTCCAAGAACAAGTTTTTTCTTAGATTGGCACTGGTCTAATCAACCCCATTGCCGAATTTCGTGCTAATATCTTCCGTAACTAACAGGATACACTTATTCACTTTCATCGAAAAATTGCATTTTTCGATACAAGTATATATATATATATATATATATCTTCACTCAAGCGAGAGTTTTGCTTAAGCAAGTTTGTGAGCTTCAAGGGCAGTCAGAGAACAGAGAGAATTATATTAGGCGAACAATGTGCTTGTCGAAGGACGTGAGTTTGATTTGTGGCAGAGAAATTTCGAAGAATTAGTACGACGTGAGAAGATGCATTATCGTGAGGCAAAAATCTAATAGTCCAAGTCTGTCCCACGCAAGCAATGCATACTGCTGCAGTAAAGAGTTACACCAGGCGTGAAAAGTTGATGTTGTTATATTACTATTACACCCATCTCTGTTAGATGGGGGTATATATGTATATATATGTTTTTTTCCTATAATGTATGTAACAACCAAAAGGAAGTTTCAGAGAGAGAGTGTTTCAAAGCATACCTATTCTTGATCAGCGAAATTCCGAGATGATTCAGCCATATCTGTCCGTCCCTGTGTATATGGTGTGTATCGTTGGCACTCTCGTGGTGGCAAAAAGGGAGATATCGACATTAAATTTAGTCGAAACATTGGAAGTTTCTGCACGCAGGTTGATGTAGAAAATGGGCCAAATCGGCCGGAGCGGAAGTGCGCAGTGAAGTGGTAAACTGAACGCAACTCCGTTCTTTTTAGCAAAAATTGCTTGGTTTTTGCTCGTTACTGGGAGATTACAAAAGTCAGAAAGCCGAAATTTTCCACATTTGCTTTACGAAGCACTCTGCTCTTTACGTGCAAAAGTGGAAAACATCCGCCATGCCAACGCAAAGTTACTTTTGTTTTTTACTTTTGTTTTTTTTCCATTTTTTTGAGGTTTTATGCTTATTTATCATAAGGCAAGCAAGACCGAATGTGCAAAACTATTTTGTGTACTCCTTAAATGAAGATAGATAATGTATTAGTATATCTATTATAATTAGACACCGTAACTAACAATATTAGTGAAGTGGATATCAAATAAAAGGACTTGGAGAGTAGAGTACGAAAAACATAGTGGAGGGTATGCGAGATTCGGGCCCTAATATGAGTTTTTTAAGTAATTTAATAACTAATAGACTCATCAAATGTTTACGGCGCTTAGGCGCATATTTTGCGTAAATATTTTCCGTGTACATGTCTGTGTTTTCATTCCAAATAGGGTTACAAGCCCAACACTTTATCTAAACAAAATTAATTTCGAACTAAGTTTTTCCCTTCACTGCGGTCAGATTATGGTCAAAGATTAGCTAAAGTGAGCGCAATAAGCAAGAATTACTCTTCTCTTCTTAAAGTGTTAAAGGAAACCTTACATTTTTTCTTTCGACCGCACAGCAAAACAGTATTCATTAAAAATTTCTATCATCATTTATTACCGTTACATTAAGAACTGCCTGCCAAACCTACGAGCACACGCTTAATTTGGAGATGTAAAAAAAAAAAAAAAACAAATAAATGTAACTTTTTGTCTGTGTAGGGTTACGCGTGAAATGCATTTATCGCAAACTAACAAAAATAAGCAAAAATTCGGTTCAAGTCGAACACAATTTCTTTTCTGTTTTCTTACTAAATAGCACTCATACATATCGTTAATCGGTATTATAGAAATTAATAATAAATAAATAAATAAACAAAATTACATTTTTAAAAATGTTCATTTTCATAATTTAAAATTTAAGCACACACCAGTGAAAAAATGTTAATAAGCTCTTTGCTGTACTTTTGATTAATTCTTTTTTGTTTTTTCTCTCTTTTTTTAGTAATATTTGTTTTCATATTTATTTTTCATGATGTGTTTATGTTTCTATTATTTTGCCTTAAGTTTTAAATTTTGTTTATGTTTACTTTAAAATTATATAAAATATATGGGAAGTAAGCTGGATATATAAAATCACAAAGCAAAACAAAAAAGAAAAACAATGTTTTCCTCTCTGTTTTTCTTATTTGTTTATTTTTAAAATGCAAAAACAAAATCACCCACATACCAAACATAATTTAAATCAATTTTTATATCCATCACGATCGGAGTGTTTAAAATTCCTAAAACATCAATATTATTGTTTGGCGTTGTATCGAAAGCATGGAATTTTTTTGAACGACATAAGTTGTGCTTTCCGCTGTATGTACACACCTAAGGTGCACGAGGGTTAATATAGATATGTGGGGGAAGGTGTGGAGCGTTCATGAGGACTTCTCAGATGGACTCATCTTTTATTACACCGATCGATTCAGAATTGTTGTTCGAAACAACCGGCCCTATTGAAAGTGTAATTATTCCGTCCATCCACCCAATGATTAAAATCGTTCCGATTTGCTTTAGAAAACAAATTGCATAGAAAAATTTTTCGACAAAAAATTCTCAACAAAAGTATTTTAGCATACTTTTGTGGCGTGAATAGTTTCGTTCTGATGGGACCATTACTTTGAACTCTTCCCATACATACAACTGTTCGTAAATCTTCTTGTCCAATCTTTAATATTTCCTGATCAAAATTGGTCCGTAGTAGATATTTAACATAAAAATTAGTCATGCAAAATTGGATCAGGTAGATCTACTTTTGGAATCACATCCTTTATTAATAGAGATCTCATGGAAAGTATTCTGAATGTCGCAAAAAAGAGTAATCTTTCAGTAGATTTGGAACACGTCAATTTATCTTTTCGATCCCCTCGCATATAAATCGCCGCATGGGCCGCCTTTATAGGAAAATAAGGCATAATTTTTACTATTTTATCACGAAAGCAAATGAAGAATTGAGTTAGGAGAAATGATGTAGGGTATTTAATGGCTGGCCTTGCTCTGCTTTTTACTCTTTCCTTGTATTCGTTTTTATTCTTATGGGGTTTTGAAATTACTTAAGTTGTTATACGCAGAAATGAGGAACAAATTTTTCTTCGCGAATAAGGATAGAACTCTAATTATAAACCATGGTCAAAGACATAAATTGATGAGAAAAGAGAATAAAACCTTTAATAAAGATGGCCAATAAAATTTTCATAAAATATGCTCAAGCTGACCGACAATATCTTACCTTACCTTGAAAGGAGAATGTAAGGCATTCTAGGCATTCTAAGTTGCATAGAGGACTGTCATCTCCTTTTTTGTCTAAGCTTCACCTTATCGGTTTACAGAAAAATATGCGAATACTAATTTCCACCTTAGATTAATTAAGGTAATTTATACGTTTTCATAGGGCACTAATATCTGTAGTTGAATCACAAGCGCGGTTACGGTCACAGAAGTATTCGTGAGTGGAATGTTGTTTTATTTTTCGTTTGTGGAGATGAAACGGACTAAGTCAATGAGGAAAGTGGCTTTTATGTCCATTCAAAAAGACTGCAAAAATTTTCAGAGAAAAAATTTCACTTTTTTGCTATTTTTGTTGCCGTAATTGTCACCATAAGTGACGGCTCAAGATTTTATCAACATTCCAACTTGAGCAGCGTCATCGGATTATCATTCTACCGAAAGTATTAGTCGTATATTTTTAATTTTTTTTGTTTGTTAAAAATAAAATAAAAATATGATCTTTCTATTCTATCGATATATCTAATGTATTTACATAGTTGTACCGAAAAGTTTCGTCCGTTCCGATTACAACAAGTTTCAACAAGCATGCGCACATTGACTTGACGCATATACAGCTCTCTGTTTTTGCCGCCCAAAGTATACGTGCTAACCTAGCAAATTAATTAAGACGAAAATGATTCATGTTAACGTTAAGTGACAGTGTGTACACCCACGGCTACTGATAAAATTCATTTATGCCACGGTGTTTTCTGCGAATTAAAACAAGGAAGAAATGCTACAGAAACATGTAGAAATTTATTGAAAGTGTTTGAAGAAGGTACAGTTTCTGATAGAACGTGCAGAAGATGGTTGTAATATATTACAAATACGTGATTTTGAGCTTTTTGGTGAGCTACCCTCTGGGCAACCACATTTGATCGAGGACGATACTTGCACGAGCATGGAAAGGCTTAATTCAGCTCAACAAACTTTCTCGACCCACATTGGTAAGCTAGGATTTTGGTTTATTCTAAAAACGGAGAGAACTTTCTG